AAGAAAGAAACTCATACAGGTTTGGAATGACATGAGGGTGAGTAAATCATGACAACATTTTCATTTTGGGGTGAACTATTCCTTTAAGTTACCAAGAGGTCTTTATGGAAGCCCATTTTCGCCACTGAATAAAAAATAAAAAAGGTAATTGCTACTTTTTTTCTCATAATTGCGTGATACAAACTCGCAATTCTGACTTTTTTTTCTCATAATTGTGAGATATAAACTCGCAATAAAAATTTTTTTTTATTCAGTGGCGGAAACGGGCTTCCATAGGTCTTGGTTTGGCTGGTTATCATAGCTTCATTAGCCCCTGCTGGTGGATGTCGTAACTACACCATCTGATTGTAAAAGCGTCCTTGGCTGGCAAAAGAAAAAAGAAACATATTGGCAATATGTCATCATTGTATAGGAGATGTAGGTTGTAGAAGGTAATGTTTTCTTATTGAAGGGCTCTCAAAAGCATGAAATTGATCATTTCCCCCTGCACTAGTAAGGTTTGTGACTGTTTGTGTTGTGGTGCCATCAGCCAATCAGTGTTGTGCAGACTCATTAGTCGCATTGCAATTTTGGTGCAAAATGTAAAATAAAATAAAATGAAATAAAATGCAAAAGAAGGCAACTCCCAATACAATAATTGAGAATGCAAGCAGATTTCTACAGGTTTTTAGACATAATTTGAAACTTTCCTTTCAACTCCCCCTCCAACTGCCTGTTGTATAGCGATCCAATCAATTCCCAAAGCATAACAAACCAAGTCCCATTTGGCATTTTTAAATGTACAATTTTACAGTAAGCCTGAGGAAGATAGATTGACCGAAACATTGCTAATAATTTCATAATGATGCAAGTTTGAGTAGTGTTCAGGATTCATACATTTTTCACTTTTATCCAACACACCTATGAATGATTGGGTGTGTGAGACACTATACAGTATCTTCTATTAAATATCCAGTTTAAAATATTTCATACAGTATTAAGGGAAAATATGCCACTTCATTCCCTGTGTATGACCTGGTTACATCGCTGCAACCCTATAGCACCACTGATTTGAAAATGGATGTATGGAACTTCATGTTTAGTATATATTTATTTGTCCCAGTTGATTATTAAAAATCACTTATACCTTTATTCTTCTTAGCAGTACTCTTGGGCTTCTTTTTTATGTTCTTCTCTGTTGGCGCTTCTTTGTCCTTCTCGGTTTTCTTCTTCTTCACCGCTTTGCTCTCTGCTGAGAAATAAAAAAGTAACATTTGTTGTAACAAGCATGGAGCATTCCAGTATGACACTGGCCCCAAGAAGTGTTCTGACTCTAAGCACTAGACCTGTCTGAATGTCAGTGCACTTTGACTATTTGACAATTGACTGATGATCAATGACTGATCAACGTGTCCTAGCTGAGTAACCACAGGTGCAGTTCATCGAATTAACTGTGAACTAACATCTATTTCAAAACTGACAAACTTGTTTTTCTGACATGCTTTGCTTTTTGCAATCTAATGCACTGATGTGTAGCCACTGTATGTCTCTCTGAGCACGAACTTGAACTTCAGTGTCTATGTAACCATTGTTTATTTCATTACTTAGGTAGCATCCAAATAATCCAAATCCTATAAGATGAAGTCCCAACAGTTGTTAATTGCATGCATGTTTGAGATGCATCAGACTGACTCTTTGAGGGCGTACTGTCCACTTCGCCTGACAACTCTTCACTCTTTTTAGCTTTGTTCTTTTTGGGTTTGGCTTCAGCTCCCTTGGCCTTTCCAGAATCTGCCTCCGGCTTCTTCTTTTTTGTCTTCTACACTGTAAATGAAGACAATGAATGGCATTCACATTTTAAGCTTTTCCTTGTACATTTTTGTGATGGTTGTGTAAATTTAAGCAGATGTTTTGAACTTACCCATTGCCACACATCAATGAAAGCAAGCAAAATGATGTACAGAATACATTAGAAAAGTGCATGACTTAATACGCGAGTCTATTATTTAAGCTGTTCATTGAGCGACTTTTTATAAACTATACATTTCACAATGCATCTTTGCAATGTAATAATCATGTTTACACCTTTCTCAAGGCAAACAATCAGTCAAAATATTCTGTACATTCAAACACTGCTCAAACAAAGGAGGTTAAATCTGTTTGACTGGATGTGGCACATTGGTTTAAGACGTGACCTCTTTATGTACAGAACGCAGAGGGAGGCCAGGATAGGTTAAGGATACGGAGAAAGTCTAATTCTTACACAATGTAGGCCTGACGTCACAGCCTGCTTCCGTACTGAACGGAGTGGGGAGCATATAATCTGATTAGTTCCGATCTTAAATGAGTATTTATAGACCTCACTTTAACAAAGAGCAAAGACAGTGGGATCCTTGATTACTGCCGCCATGGGGATTTTACTTGCTTAGCGTTATGGAAAACCCCTTCATAGACCATTAGCCACAGTAGATTCAAGTGAGATTCTGTATGACAGAAGCATCCAAAAGCATCTGCTTGGCAGGCTGAGAAATATTGACTGGCTAGTTTTTAATTAGAGTTAATGTTTAAGCGCTTTTCATAATTTCAGCCATGTCTCCTCAAGGAAAACCTCTTTTGGGTCAGTGAGTTTCAGTGCCATGCTACAGTGGCCTTGATCAACCCCTCTCTGATATATTCTCTCTCCTTTTCTCCTCCCTTTATGGTTACAAATGTAGCAGGATATACAGGGAAAAGGAAACAGATGCAAAAAATATTTCCTGTTTTTGAAAAACACACATTTAATAATATTAAACATGGAAATCTGTTCGAAAGCCTGTTCTTAATTACTTTCAATGGCAAAAATATTTTAGAAAAAATTTTGTTTTTGTTAAAATTATTTTCTAAAAAATGTTTGACATTCAAAGATAATTGTGTAGATTATTTTATTAATTAAATATTAAATGATTTATTAGATTCTTAAAAATTTGGATTTATTACTTTAATTTTAACCTGGCATTTGAACCAATAAAGAGGTACCAGGAACCATCTAGAACAACAACAAGAGCCAACTCAATCCATTTGCTGCCAATATTACGAAAGCAGTGCTTTCCTTTTCCAAAGCCTTTCTAAATCCTGCCGACAGGAAAATACAATCAATTCGATGATCAAAGAGTCAATTCAGTCAATCAAGATATTACACAATGCCTAGACTATGAACTATACCTAAGGCTAAATGCTCCCTTGGCTTTTTTAATCCAGTGCCCAAATGTATTGCCTTATAGGTAATTTATTCATAAAGAAAAAAGATATTTCAAAACAGCTTGAATCCAGTTATATATACAGCATTCCTGACACTAAAGTTGGCATAAAATATTGACAAATTCAATTTAAATGGCTTTCCTTTAAGGGAATATGTTAGATTGTATAGGTTATGGGTAGATTAATAACATATAGATTCATGGAAAAGATCTTGAGGCATTGAGGCAGAATGCGTCTTTAAGGTGGATTGTTCCCTACCATCTTAAAATATACATATTGGCAGGTAAACTGGTTATAAGGCTCTTGAGAACTCTGTAAATCTCAACCTACTGCATGTTATGTCCTGCAAAAGAACAAATCGAGGGGTGAGAACCAGAAGGGCGTAAGTGACTTTTGACCAACTTTACAGGAGGGCCAAAACAAAAACCAACAGGCTTAGTATGTTCAGAGTTAAGTCTTTTGGTTTCTAATGAATAACTCCAAAATGATTAAGAATTCACTTGTGTCCTTTTGGCAGTAGAAAGAGCTCATCAAGAGCTTTCATATCTCCATTTCACCCAAAATGTCACTTACGCCCTTCTGGTTCTCACCCCTCGAAATAGACACGAGTATGTTGACACAAAACCCTAATCAATCAAACAGACTTGCATTAACTTCATTTGACAAACCTAGGCTTGTTCAGTACCTTCTAGATCACAGAGCTACAGTATGTATGCCTGGTATAAAGTGATAAAACATTTACTGCCTAAAACATCCAGTATTATATCGATTTAAGACATTTATAACTTCGTTTAGAAACTAGAAGCTCTTTTCAGCTCTAAGACACGACAGCTAAGATGTACCTTCTCTGAAGACATGGCTATTGAGATGACATCGGTTCAATAGTAAAAGTCCAGACGGGAGAACAGATGAAGCTGTCGTGTGTGTTTATATGAGTGTGTGCTGAGGGCATCAGTGTGACTGATTATGAAGGCTAGTTTAGTCCAGAGAACTTGATAATAGGATTCAGTGTAAAGCCCATCTGCTTCAGGAGCAACCAAAACAACTCAAGAGGAACGTACCATCTACCGACACAATAAACACAACTGCAGAATGAGTCTCCTTCATTACGCTCTCAGATAAAAAATGCTGTCAATGGTGTAGTACACTTTTGAAAGTACCTTATTATTAGTACCTCAAAGTTACATATTAGTAGCTAAAGTGTACATATCAGTACCTCCATGGTAGGTACTGTCATAGACGCAGCTTTTGTACTTTTTTTTGTGAGCGTGTTAGGTACAAATGTTAAAAGGTACCTTACTGACCCCGAAATGGTACCTCAAAGATACATACTAGGACTTGAAAAGTTCATAATACACCAAAGTTACACCTTTTGAAAGGGTATTAGTTTTGTACCTTTTTTTCTGAGATTTTCAGAAAATTTGAATAAAAAAAAATAACAACAATTTCGTAATATCTTAGCAACAGCAACACTCAAACTGCATCAGCTCTATAAGTTTGTGTGGAAGAGCTGAAAAATTGATATCTGAGATATTTATTTAATAACATTACATTTAATTTATCCAAGAATGTTATTTATTAGGAGTTCAAATGGAAAAAAAAGTGTGTTCTCAGACTTTTCAACCCACATTAAAGCAGACTTGCACTTGAATGGAGACATATTGAGACATGCACAAACTTACATAAACACACTGTACACTTGATGTATAACTCACCTGTATTGACCTTTTGGAATCATTGTTAGGAAGGCTAAGATATAAATCAGCATTATTAGCAACAAAGCAGATTCATTTATTACAATATTTGTAGTAAAGCACTGCTCACCTGTCTTCTGTCCAAACCTCCTGTAAGATCTCTTTCTGCAGAGGCATCAAGTGAAGATCACTGAAGATCGCAAAACCTCCCAATTCTTCTCAAATAAAATCTCCAAAGCTCAATCAGTCGGTTGAATCCAAAAAAATTATCTGTGTTCATCAAAGCAAACATCAAAATTACAAATGATAATCATTAACTATTTGTTTCCTCCTTCTCTTGTTTTCTTTAGTTTCTGTGGCCTATAAGACATGGCACGTCTTTTGCACTTGAAAACATACAGGTTGGGTTTTACTGGTCGTCTTAAAAGGCCCATAAGATGAAAGTGTCGTTTCCCAGCATGCATTTAGCTTTAGTGCGCCATCTGTCAATGGGAGACAAACCATTACAAAACCAATCACTGGAGGTCTAACCCATCCACCTGCAAAGCCCCACTGGAAGATTTAATAGGATTGTCATCAGAATTAGAGGGGAGCCACATGTCTCTTTGGGGGATTTGCTGCATAAAGCTCACACATAGGTACGTATCATTAAAATAATGCTGTATTAATTAAATACAGGAATATACAGTAGCAAAATACATTACCATTTACTCCATAAAAGCCATTGATTTATGTCACATTATAGCATGGTAGTGATTTATTTTATTATGTTTTTTTTTCTGATAATTTTATTATTTATAATTGTTTACACTATTTTAGGAGTCAGTATATTGTACAGATATGAAATAAATAAAGCAATGTGCATTTCAAGAATTAAAAAAACACATATTTAAAAATAGCTTTTTAATAGTACAATAATAAATCCTAAATATTTGAAATAATGTCCAGAAATGCAGATATTCTTATAATATGTAAATGAACAAATAAAAAAATAAAAATAAAAAGTTTACTTTTTTAAAGATTACTAAAAAATAAAAAAAATTTCTACTTCAAAATTTTGCATGTGTTACTTTATGTGTTTTCTTTATAATTGTTTGTGAAATTTACTAGCCATTTCTGCATGAAAATTTTTCTACACCACTTTTTGTTTGTGTAGGCCTCGTGTAGAATCGCAAATAATCATGCGTAAACAATAATAAACAGCATGTCTAAATAAAAATCCATTTATTTATATTAATTTATGGGGAACGATTTGTGGTTTGGGGTAGATCCAGTCTGATCTCATATCATATATCTTTATTCATTATTTCATGTGTCTATTTCATATTTAATACATTAATATCATAACATTATTCCCACTATCATAATCATAATTCTTGCAAAAACACTAGCAAATGTATCTTTTAATGGTGTACAGTATCAGGTTTATATGTATAGCTTTGATTATTTTATTTTATTTTATTTTATTGTTTCTGTGTGTAGATACCAATATATGCCACAAGAGGGAGAAGTATTGCAGCATTTGATAAAGTCAGTTCATTCAAGCTATAGTTCTCATATATTTTAAATATGACACAATATTATAGTGCAAACTGAAGCACTTTTCTATCATTGGCCAGCATAAAGTATGCATTATAAAATTATGTATGTTAATTGATACAATACATTTGCCCTTTAAAACTTTTTTCTCACTTTATATTGACCACACAATAAATTAACACAACTTTTAATAATATGTACTGTTTAAATGTATGTGTGCACTTTGAGGGCCTCCCGTGCATCAACAGCTCCATCTAAAGCGTGGATTGAACCTCTCCATTTCCTGTCCCTATACTCATAAGTATGTGGGCTGGCTGCTGAGTGTTGAAAACATCTTTAACCTGTAGCTTTAATTATGAGCCTGAAGTAGGGTGTTAGAGTTCAGTGGCCTGGCATACATCTCCTCCTGACCCGAGGGGTCCAGCTCTGTCCTCTATACCCCTTTCCCCTGCCTGAATATGGCAGTCTAGACTAATGGTTCCCTTTCAGTCGGTCACTCTCGATGTCACGTCGGATGACCGACGAATTGGGATCTCACTTAGAGAGACCAATCTACTTCGAGTGTAAACTAAACGAGCCAATGCACATTGGCATGCGATTATAAGCTGCCTCTGCCTTACACGCTACGGCGTTACTGCAGGTTCTTCAGGCTAAAGCACTGAGGGACCTGCACGAGTGTGGTCACGACCCAGAAGTTCTCAAAGAACTCCGTACCGCTACGGATCTCACGCTATGAGCGACGAAGGTCACTGCGCGGTCTCTGGGCCGTGCGATGTCCACTATGGTGGTCCAGGAGTGCCAAAACTGGCTGTGTCTGGTCGATATGAGGGACGCCGACAAAGTTCGGTTCCTTAATGCCCCTGTGTCCCAGACCGGCCTCTTCGGCGATGCGGTCGAGAGCCTGGCCCAGCAGCTCTCGGCTGTACAGAAGCAGACTGAGGCGCACACCCTGCCCTGGTGGGCAGCTGCTGCCTCCACCCGTCCGCCGGCCGCAGCGGCCCCCTGCATCCACCTACTCCTTTGGAGTAAGAAACAGCTGAGGTCGCTTCGTGTTGTTCACATTCCTGGGCTGCTCAACCGGGCAGCCGACGAGCTGTCTCGAGCTGCGCTCCCGGGAGAATGGCGACTCCATCCCCAGACGGTCCAGCTGATTTCAGAGACGTTTCAGAGACGCTCAGGTAGACCTGTTTGCCTCTCCAGAAACCTCTCACTGCCAGTTGTTCTTCTCCCTGGCCGAGGGAACACTCAGCACGGAGGCACTGGCACACATCTGGCCGCGGGGCCTTCGCAAGTATGCGTTTCCCCCAGTGAGCCTTCTTGCACAGTTGCTGTGCAAGGTCAGGGAGGACGAGGAGCAGGTCCTGTTGGTGGCACCTTATTGGCCTACCCGGACCTGGTTCCCGGAACTAATGCTCCTCGCGACAGCCCCTCCTTGGTCGATTCCTCTGAGGAAGGATCTACTGAGTCAGAGACGGGGCACCCTTTGGCACCCGCGTCCAGACTTCTGGAAACTTCATGTCTGGTCCCTGGACGGGACGCGGAGGTTCTAAGTGACCTACCCCAAGAGGTAGTGACACCATCACTTCAGTGAGAGCACCGTCTACGAGACACGCTTACGCTTTGAAGTGGAACCTGTTCATTGAGTGGTGTTCTTCTCACCGAAAAGACCCCCGAAGATGCCCGATCAGAGTCGTGCTGTCCTTTTTGCAGCAAGGGTTGGAGCGAAGGCTGTCTCCCTCCACCCTCAAAGTCTATGTCGCTGAAATTGCTGCTAACCACGATCCCGTAGAAGGGAAGTTGCTGGGGAAGCACGACCTGATCATCAGGTTCCTTAGGGGGGCGAGGAGGCTAAATCATCCACGGCCCCCCTCTATACCCTCTTGGGACCTGACTCTAGTGCTCACAGCACTACAGCAGGGCCCATTTGAGCCTTTGCAAACAGTCGAGCTGAAGTTTCTGTCAATGAAAGGAGGAGGCAGACCCAGCCCTAGCTTTGCTCTGTCCCGTTTGAGCCTTAAGGTGCTACGTAGACCGGACGCAAAGCTTCAGGACCTCAGACCAGCTCTTTGTCTGTCACGGAGGCCGGCAGAAGGGGAATGCCGTCTCTAAGCAGAGGATGGCCCACTGGGTAGTGGATGCCATCACCCTGGCTTATCAGGCACAGGGTGTGCGCTGCCCGTTCAGGTTGCGAGCTCACTCAACTAGAAGTGTTGCATCCTCCTGGGCGCTGGCTCGTGGCGCCTCGCTGGCAGAAATCTGTAGAGCTGCGGGCTGGGCGACCCCTAACACGTTCACTAGATTCTATAGCCTTCGTGTGGAGCCGGTATCCTCCTGTGTTCTCACCACAAACGGGTAGAAGCACCGTGAGAACTGGCAGAGGGCTGGGTTCCATATGTAGAGGCCTAAGTGGTTCCCATATGTGTAAAGTCCACGGTATAGCCTCAGACGTGACGTCTCCGTTCCCTCCTTCAGGGAACGAGGGTTACCATACGTAACCGAGACAATATCCTGGTTGGCCTGCTCTCTCTGACAGCCTTCCCAACAACTGGCATCACGCCCAAGAGAAATTAGTGAATTGACCCACTGTGGCGAAGCTCCTCGGACCTTAAAGGGACAGTGTCATGCTACAACTTGCCGCCGACTGAGTTCCTGTGTGCTTTTTGTGTTTTCACAAGGAAAAATATAGGGTGAATTTAGGTTAATTAGGACATATTTTTCCCAGTCATCTCAATGGCAAAATATTTACCTGAATTCATCCCTGCTGTTTAGATTTAGATTTTAACTCTTGAAAGAATCAAATACACATAAGTGTCATTATTCATGAAACATGCTCTGTTTAACTGGCCAGAGTAAAAAACAAATTCACAATAGTTTCTGTTTTGGAAAACTTAATGGAGCTTTTGATTCTGTCTCGTTTAAGTGTCAATTTTGTCTCAGATGCTTCTCCAAAACAAAACAAAGCAAAGCAAAACAAAACAGACAAAACTAAACTAAACTAAACTAAACTAAACAAAAAACAAAACAAAACAAAACAAAACAAAACAAAACAAAACAAAACAAAACAAAACAAAAAACAAAGCACTTAATATACTTAAGTGTGAACTGAAATATAGGCATTTAACTGCATGTTAATTATAATTAAATGAAAATACTATAGTTTAAATTCATATTAAATGCAATTAGTAAGTTGGAGTAAGTGTTCTTTTTGACCCACTTATGTAGGAATTATCTTTATGTGTAATTTAATAATTATGTCTATTGTCTTTTTATGGTAAATTAGGATAATCTAATGAAACTTGTCTGTAATGTATTCATCCCTGCTGTTTAGATTTAGATTTTAACTCTCGGCAGAATCAAATACACATAAGTGTCATTATACATGAAACCAGCTCTGTGTAACTGGCCAGAGTAAAAAACAAATTCACAATAGTTTCTGTTTTGGAAAACTTAATGGAGCTTTTGATTCTGTCTCGTTTAAGTGTCAATTTGGTCTCAGATGCTTCTCCAAAACGAAACAAAACAAAGCAAAGCAAAGCAAAGCAAAACAAAACAAAACAAAACAAAACAAAACAAAACAAAACAAAACAAAACAAAACAAAACAGACAAAACAAAACAAAACAGACAAAACTGAACTAAACTAAACAAAAAACAAAACAAGACACAAA